TTTTTTTTTTCCATATAGAATATTCTGAATCAATTTCAGTTTTAGCTGTCAGATTTTTGAATTCTTGCTGAGAAAAAAAAGAAGTTGTTGTTTTAGAAGGGATTATTTGTTTAGATTTTGCTCAATTTGTTAAACTTTTAGCATAATTCAGTTTGTTAAGGCTTGAGCTCAATTCGATTCAAGCCCATTTACGGGCTAATAGGGATTTATACGTAATTTTCTAACTTTTAGCATAATTCAGCTCGAGCTCAGCTCGTTCGATCTTGTTTATGGGCTCATTATTTTAGATCGACTCCATAAGAATTCGAGCCCGAGATTGAGTATTAGAACTGTAAATAAGTCAATATTTATAGCAATTACAATATGGTTATATAGTTTTCTGCTTTCACCTCTAAAATAGATCCAATGTTTTACTTGAATCAATCAAGGCTTTCTAAAAATGGGATCTTTATGCAGGCAAGAAAAGCATTGAGTGCACTAAAAGGGATAGTGAAGCTTCAAGCCGTGGTCCGAGGTGAGCTCGTGAGGAAAAAAATCTTGAAAAAGTTGGCATACATTTCTCTATTCTCAAAGGCCCGACCATTGTTAGACCTGCATCGAGCGAGAGTTCGACCGATGGTTGATAATCTTTGTCATATGAAAAGGAGGCATAGCTTTGTCGTAAATGAAGGCTTCAAATCCAAAGAATTTAAGGTAATGTAATGAAAGAATCAGCTGCAATAATTTTGCACTCTAATGCTTCGACTTTTTTTATTATGGTTTTGTGTTTTGTTTTTGTCGGTTTTGTGTAAGCCAAAATGTTGGGCTGATTTGTAATATCTAACAACTTTTAGGGGTGTGATTGTGTAAAACTGTTTGTTCCAAGTTTAACAACACGCAATTCATCTCATCATTCACAACATTATCTCATCTTCTATTTTACAATCGGCCGAATTTTCACTCAATTTGCATAAGTTGGCGATATCTGTGTTTAGCTAAATAAAATCGTATTTGTTTCGGTCTTATTATTTGAAGCTTCACTGTAACACCCACCGGAGTTTGGATTTGAGCTTTGTCTCGAATGAAGCCACTGCTAAAAGGGAGTGCATGAGGCAATGTTCGTTCTCTCATCGGGTAAATTTTAATTCTGCTACAATTTCATTAAGTATCCTCCAAGTTTAGTCTAATCACAAAAAAAACCCCATCGATCTTTTCAAAATTACAAAAGCACATGGATATTTGTTTCTATGTTACTTATCACTTGCTCAAACCTATCAAGAAAACTACAAACAATAATGTCCTATTTATAACTTAAGAAAACATCGGCTCTTTTTTTCAGTACTCCAACCTCAAGGGTAGTTTTCTAATTATATCCTTGCGTTTTTTACCCCAACATATTGGTACAGGAGAGGAGAAATGATCAAAATCTGCAAGAACAGACGAGCCTCAAACGAAACACGAGCATTCATTTGCTTCAACATGAGGTTCATAATCAACTAGAAAAAACAGAGAATTTATTAAAGCCCATGTCACGTTCGACTTCCATGACAATCGACTCAACTAGGCTAGCACAGCTGAAATTGAGAAAACACGAAATTGCAGAGGGATTGAACTCGCCATCTTCACAGTCGAGGAGGTCTTTTTGCCACATAAGTCGCAACAAATCGATCTCAGATTATGGATCTTTGCCAAATTCGCCGGTTTTTCCAGCTTACATGGCAGCCACAGAATCTACCAAGGCAAAATCGAGATCGTTTAGCACCCCAAGGCAAAGGCTGAGGCTATGCGAATCGTATGCGGGCCCGTATTCTCTGCACAAGCTCGGCCTTTCTTCTTGTGGGTCGTTTAATGGCGAAACAATACCCAAGAATGAGAAAACAAACTGCAACGTTTAGTCAGTAATTTTCGTTTGGCAGAAAAATAATCCTGTTTTCTGGTTTTTTTTTTCTGTGTTTCTCTCGGGAGATGTCTCGATTTCGGTTCTTGCTTGGGAACGTTAGTATGTGTTTTGTACTGTTGTACATTTGTGCATATTACCAGAATTTTCTGCTTTGGTTCTCTCTGTATATGTTTGTCTGAGGATTTTATGGTTAAAAATTTCAAATCTGAAAACATAACTTGCACTTGTTATTGCAACTATCATGAAATGCCTGTTTCTTTTTTTTTTTCCGAAACGGTAGAGATTTTATAAAAATGAGCACAAATGTGCAAAAGGACAGCTACAAGCTGAATACAAACAGTCAAAGACTGAATACAAACAACCAACAGCTGAATAAAAATGAGAGGACAGGTCAAAGACCGCCTAAAAACCGACCCCAACAGGGTAATACTCGGCAACACTAAAAACACAAGACAACTAAAAACGACCCCAACGGGGTAATACAAACACAAGACAACTAAAAACGGCCCCAACAGGGTAATATCTGAGTGTCCGACCCCAACAGGGTAATAAAGTTGACACTCAGGCTTACAGAGGCCAACGGCCCAGACCTAAAACAAAAACCTAACACGAAACAACACAAACGACACGGAAGAAAACAGACTACAAACACACACAAGGCCCTTCCACGGCAAAACAGTCGGCCCAAACCAGCGGAGAACAGTCGATTTCAGAGATTGATCCAAGTCCAGAAACGGCTCCCGAAACTGCCACATGGCCTATACAAGAAGTCAATCCCGAACACAAACCAAACGCCGAAACAACCCACCTCAACCGGAGGAACAATCGAACCCACTCCCACTCTAGCACCTCACGGGCCCGCCTAACACCACTAGCCGAGCTAAGGAACACCAGAACCTGCCTTCTAACACCACTAGCCGGCAGGGGGGAAGGGTACGAGCCCTCAGCTCCAACACAAGCAGAGCTCCACCCCATCTCATGAAATGCCTGTTTCAGTGTTTGAGATTTTCTTTTCTTTATTTTGAAAACAAGTAGTGTATAGTCACACTTAGGTTATTAAAAGTTCGGCCTTTTTACATGTTCAGTATACTATAGCTTTTGGTATTATTATTATTATTATTATTATTATTATTATTATTATTATTATTATTATTATTATTATTATTATTGTCAAAAATACAATTATTAAAAATAATCATTCTTAAACGAATCATATACTAAAAAATAATGCAATTAAGTAACCACTAACCAATGACAAAAATAAACTACAAATCAACCAATGAAACAATAAATAGTAAAAGTGGTATATTTATATTTTTTTTTCTACAATATTTTAGTAGATGTTCGAATAAAATAAGATTTTGCAAGTGATTAATGTAAATTCTCTTAATTAATTTTTATTTTTTAAAAAACTTCATAAATATACGAAAAAAATAACATTTGCAGCTTCCAAAATTTTGTTAAATAGGAAAAAAAAAAAGAATATCATTGAAGGAGAATTATAAAGACAGAAAATAAAAAAATAAAATAAAATTCGCCATATCCAAACTTCAGAACGGAGTGTGGAAAAACCCAATGTCATCAATCCATTTCTTCCCAGCCGCAACCGCCGCCGCCGCAGCCGTACCCACCGCCAAGGCGCCACCTCTCAACAACCTTGACTCCTGCTCGTCCATGGCGGAGCTCCGGCAGCACCACGCTCGCGTGGTCAAGCTCGGCCTCTCCTCCGACAACGACGCCGTCGGACGCGTCATCAAGTTCTGCTCCCTTTCAGATTCCGGCGACCTGAACTACGCCCTCAAGGTGTTCGACCAATTGCCCCACCCAGACGCTTTCGTATACAACACCATCCTCAGAGGCTACTTGAAAGCCCAACTCCATAAAAGTTGCATTTTTCTGTACTCGCAAATGCTGGAAGAAAAATGGGCTAATCCAAACAAATTCACCTTCCCGCCGCTAATCCGAGCCTGCTGCTTCGAAAACGCCGTTCGAGAAGGAAAGCAGGTGCACGCCCACGTCGTGAAGTTTGGGCTGGGCCAAGACCCGTACTGCCAGAACAACTTGATCCACATGTACTCCGATTTCGAACTCTTGGACGAGGCGAAAGCGGCGTTTGATAATCTAGAAGCCAAGGACGACGTTTCTTGGACCACGTTGATGAGCGGGTTTTCTCGTGTGGGCCTTGTGGATCGAGTCCTTGATCTCTTCGAATCGAAGCCCGTAAAAAACGGGCCCACGTGGAATGCCGTGATCGCGGCCCATGTGCAGAATGACAGGTTTCGGGAGGCGTTTGCTCTGTTTGATCGGATGAGAGAAGAGAATGTTGAAATGGATAAATTCGTGGCCGCAAGCATGCTATCGGCTTGCACGGGCCTCGGCGCATTGAAACGGGCCGAGTTGATTTATGAGCAGATAAAGAGACGTGGGGTCCACATCGGCCACAAGCTGGCCACGACTATAATCGACACATACTGTAAATGCGGGCGTATAGAAAAAGCCTTTGAGATTTTCCATGAGTTGCCGAGTAAAGGAATTTCGTCTTGGAACTGCATGATTGGTGGGTTCGCAATGCACGGTAGAGGAAAAGATGCAGTCGAGCTTTTCAAGAAGATGGAGTCGGAAAAAAGGGTAAAGCCCGATAATGTCACCTTTGTGAACTTGCTTGGTGCTTGTGCCCACTCGGGCCTAGTCGAAGAAGGAAAGTACTACTTTACGTACATGACGAAAACCCATGGGATTCTTCCGGGTATGGAGCATTATGGATGCCTTGTCGATTTATTGGGCCGGGCCGGGCTTTTGGAGGAGAGTAAAAGAGTCATAGATGGAATGCCGATGCAAGCCGATGCAGGAGTGCTCGGAGCACTTCTCGGGGCATGCAAAATACACGGGAATATCAACTTGGCCGAGGAAATCGGAAAGCGGGTGATCAAGTTAGAGCCCCAAAACAGCGGCCGTTATGTTTTGTTGGCCAATATGTACTTGAAAGCCGGTAGATACGAAGAGGTTGCGTACATACGGAAGATGATGAACGATAGAGGAGTGAAAAAGTTGGCCGGGCTTTCGGTAGTTGAGTTGGATAGAACCGTGCATGAGTTCATCGCGGGTGGGCGGGCCCACCCGGAGGCCCGGGAGATATATGCGAAAGTGGATGAGATTTTGGTTCATATTATGGAATTGGGTTATGTGCCGGAAAGTGATGGGATATTACCAAGTGAGGAGGAAAAGGAGAACCCATTGTTCTACCATAGTGAAAAGTTGGCTATTGCGTACGGGCTTTTGAAGACAAAAGCTGGTGAGACGATTAGGGTTACCAAGAATTTGAGGGTTTGCAGGGATTGTCACGAGGCGAGCAAATTGATTTCGAAGGTTTATGATCGGGAGATCATCGTGAGGGATAGGAATCGGTTTCACCATTTTAGACGGGGCGTTTGCTCGTGTAACGATTATTGGTAGGGATAGTTGTGTAAAGTGTTGTGAACATTAAAATAAAAACACCCTTTGTTTTGTAACCCTTCTTTGAAAAGAATGATTCAAGATGAATGATTTTATTCCTACACAACTGAAAAGACTTAGGAAATGAAAGGCAATGTATGGAATAATAATAACCAACATATCAAAAATGTAGTACATAAGATGAAAGAAATAAAACTATGAGTGCAATTTTGCAGATTATTCTTGAAATGTGATATGTGGTAAAAGTTTGGATAATGAAAAACTAACTCTAAGAAAGTTCGCGACTGCGTTTAGCTGCAGCCACAACCGCGTTCATCAGAATCCCACGAAAACCAGCTTTTTCCAGCTCGTGAATCCCGGCTATGGTCGTGCCACCTGGCGATGCCACGTCATCTTTCAGCTGACCTGGATGCTTTCCGGCATTTGCCACCATGGATGCTGCCCCTAATACCTAATAGATGCATCGGATTAAAATTCATTGGTTGATTATGAATAATAACGTTAAACTTGAAGAAAACTATAATAAATGTTAGGCTAAAAGGGTGGGAAAAAGATGAGAAAATTCGAGTGGCTTTACAGTTTGAGAAGCTAAACCGAGTGCAAGCTCCCTAGGTAGACCAGCAGCTACACCTCCATCGGCTAAAGCTTCTATTGCTAAATATATGTATGCCGGTCCACTACCACTGAATATATATCAGAAAAGAAAACAAAATGATTTAACGTAAATTACAAAAATTGCAATCGAGATTTAGAGGAATTTACTACTCATAACTACAGAAAAGCTAGAAACTTTTCATTTTTCTATTTGTAAATTTCACCGGCTCAGGAGATACTTGTAAAATTCTTCGAGGATAACTTGTAATTCTGAATACAATTGGTTTTTCTTTTTTCGACAACTAGACAAATATGAGACAGCAAACAGAAAATTTTGAATAATTTTTTAATTTCGAAATAATCAAAGCAAAGTTGCAAGCAGCACACCTCAAGCCAGTAACAGCATCAAACAGCTTTTCGTCGGCTGTCCACACTTTACCGATTCCACCAAACAATGTTGCGATTAATTCTCCATCTTCCTTAGTTGCTGTGGTCCCCAGACCGATAACTGAGTGTACCCAACCAAAAAAAAAAATGAAAAAGTTGAATCTTTCACACGTTTGTGATATAAAAGAACATGAAAACCTACACTTTGACTTTGTCGATGTTAATACAGAATATTAACTAGAAAATCCTGATATTGGTCTACAAATATATTAAATTTAAATCGAAAAGAAAAAAAAAAGGAAGTGAAATTGATATACCGGAAGCGGCCACACCAACAGCAGCTGGAGTGTTGGGCATTACTCTTATAAACCGGCTGTGTCCAGCCCACTCCTGCAAATATACCAATCCCATGAAAATAAAATACTAACAGTTCGACGAAAAAACAAGGTCAAACACCAAACAAGATAAAAGGCAACAATTGAGGTAGCGAAAAATTCAGGATAAACGTGACTTAGTTCTTAACTTATTAACTGCACTTTTTGTTTACTTAGGTTCATTTTCGCTTAAACAAATTTACCGAA